AGTCGACCATCCCCCCCCCAGTACCCCAGTGCTGTTCTGAACTCCGCGCTTGAAAAAAAGCCTCATGCTAGGAATTCGGAAGCTTACAGACATGTGGAAGCCTGTGCCACAAGCACCGAAACAGCTTGTGACTTTGTCAGCGCCAGCCAATGTTGAGAGCATGAGCTGCCCCGACGAAGAAGCCGGGTTTCCGTGCATTCAATGCCAAACCTCCCCACAAAGCGCTGGATAAATCCTGCTAAGGAATCCTGCTAAGACCCCTTTCAACCAATCCTGTCAAAATCCTGCTGCGACCTACAAACACTCTGTAGCGGGGTCTGCACAGTCGGGCCTGGAGCGGACAGAGGACGGAGAAGGCCGAGCCATGCACCCGTCGGCAGTCAGAGCCTCCAGCGAGGCTTTTTCGGCTTCGGACTTGGGCCGCTAGGGCCCCAAGGGTTCAGGGTCGCTTTAGGGTTTAGACTTTAGACCTTAGGGCCTGGGTTTTAGGGTTTAGGGTTTAGGGTTTAGACCCTAGGCTTATAACAGGATGAGCAGTTGAGTAATCAGGAGGCAACTGTAGATCTACTCCTGGCAAAGGAACAGAACAGGCTGAAGCACTGCATGGTTTTATGTGCACAGCCTTCTATATACTCTATCATGCTCCGGGCTGCTCTAGCTTCAGGGTGGCGTTGCAGGTCTCCGCCACCACGACAACAAGACTCAAGAGCACGGTTGCAACACTACCACCCTGGCCTGCCGCAAAAACAACCCACCAGCGAAGGGACCACCAGCATCACTACTGTCACAAGCGAAGAAACCCTCCAACGCCAAGGGTTCAGCTTGAAAAGGTTTTTTCAAAGCCCAAGCCTGGGCCCTGGGAAGCTACGGGTCTCAAGCCTTCATGGCCCCCTTTGCTTCCCCGAAGGCTTGAGGTCTCCTCCTTAAATGACAGCGACCCTTCAGGCCCTTAAAGGCCCGGAAACCCGAAGGGCCCCCTTTTGGGGGCCCGGCAGTGGCAAGAGAGCCAAGACCGCTCCCGGGCGACAGGCGCCTCGGAAAGCTCTGGGAAGTGTGGACGAGCTTTCAAGTTCGGGCTTTTGGAAGGCCCTGCAACCGGCTTCAGTGGGCTACATAGAAGTGGCTTGCATGGGTAAGAAAATCGTTGGCCAGAATGGTGAAAGGCTCAAGGGTACTAAGTCGTGAAGGGAGGGTCCAAGCACGAAAGGCTCGAAAGGGTGTAAGGTCCGGAGCTGCAAAGGCTTAATGTTAAGGTGGGTCAAGCAGTTCGCTGTTCAGGGCACAGCGCTTGGGGCTTACGGCAGAATAAGACAGCATGACCTATAATTTAGAAGATCATGATCCGAGCAATCCCCGATCCACAGATGCCACTATTATTATCATCATCATCATCATCAGATCATCAGCATCATCATCATAATCATCATGTGAAACAACGTCATCATCATCATCACCACCATCATCATCATCATTGAACCATCGTCATCATCATCCTTCCTCGAAGCGTTCTGCACCCCTCGTGGCCGAGGAAGCCGCGAGGAAGCGCACAGCCCCGCAGTGGCCTCTGGCCCAGCTACTCGGGGGGTTTCCAGGCAGTTTTCAGGCGTTTCCTAAGTTTAAGTCTTCGAGGCTTAGGCTTTGGGGGTGAGACTTCAGAACACTCAAAACCAACAACACTCTGAACGTTGTTCAACGTGGGATGTTGCACTTCTCTGCCGCACATTTCCTGTTTCTGTTGCATCGGGCTTCTTGGCTTTTGTGCCTTGGATTTGCCCTCCTGTCCAGGCAAGGAATTCCGAAAATTCCTGCAGAAAAAAACACATGCGTCAGGATGCCTATCCGATATGAGACATCTCTAGACCTTTCGCGGTGTTTTTTAGCAAAGGACACTCGGACCAAGCACCAGGCATGCGCTCGGCAGATGGCAAACTTCCGCCGTGGCTGACATGGCTTGTACATGCCGGACTTCGGTCGAATCGAGCTTAGGTTTTGGCTTTGGCTTTGTTTGAGGCCCCTTCACGGCTGGAGATTTCATTGAGAGTTGAGGTCAGCGGTCAGGAATGAACCTTCAGAGTCTCGGTCAATGAGAAGTAAGCCCGCACCTTCCAGTCATGGCAACACTGCCGGGTCCTACTTGGGCTAGCGGCTAGCCTCTCTCCGTGCTCTTCAGTCCCGAGCTTACATTTCTCGTTGACTCTCCTACTATGTTACCATGCACCATAGCACTCTTTTCCTTACCTACCTCTGCGTTGGCTCGGCTCGCTTCTTCCTCTGGTCTACTCGGCTGGCGTGATGACCATCAGGGCGACAAAAAGGGTCTTGAGAGTGAGCTTCTCCTGTGTGTGGCTCGTCTTGCTGTGCTCCCATCTGCGGGCACGGGATCTCGGGCGCGGGTAGTTCTGTTCCTTACATCCCACAGTGACAAACTTGAAGCGCCAGCTGATCAAATGGAACGGCGGGAGCACCAAGAAGCAGCCAACCTCAACCGCGTGGAACACCCAACAGCAAAAGCCCCGGCAACCCATAACACCGGTGAGGCATGGTAAGGCAGACAATGACTACCAGAACAAGCAACATCAAATGACGGTGGCGCAGGGAGGGCTGGAACAACGCCAAAAACAGCAACTACTAGAGCACTATGAAACTCAGAAAGAGCACACTGATTGAATGCCCGGTACAAATACAGGAAACAAAGAATAACAAACCTCGTGATACTCTCCTCAACTCTCCGAACTTTGCTAATACACTCTTCAGGTAACAAACTTCGCCCAGACGGGATGCACTCTTCTTGTAGAGCCTTATGTCATCCATCCTGCAACACAAGACAGCAGGCCTAAATGGCAGCGACGCGATGTCATGGACGCTACACGCAAGATGCCAAGCATGGATGCCCTAAGCATGGACGCCATTAAACCGAATCATTCTCAAGAAGCTCTACATCTCTCGGGTCTGAGCATCTAGATGCACGAGCAATGGCAGAACAAGCTTCACCGACAGCAGCAGAAACAGGGGCAATGACGATGCATGACAATAGATTTGGGAATCATCGTCATGATCATCGTTATCTCTAACACCGTCATCATCACAAAATGCTCGTACTGCCAGCACCATGACATCATGTTGACAGTGTCTTCCTTGCCACTAGGGGTTGAATCCGAATCATCTTTCAAAGGGGCACAGCAGCTTCTGCAGGTCACAAGATGGCAGCGGCAGATTGGGCTGTGACGCCGCCGACTGAATAAACGAAAAATGCGTAATGTTCATGCTTTACTGTCCTGGCCGTTGATGTCGGTTGATCATGTGAGTCTTGTTGCTCCTACTATGATTGCTGGTCTTGGATATGTGAACCATGCTTGTGGCCTGGACCTTCTTATGAGTAGTCTGACCAGTCTTCTGGCCTTCTTGCCTACAACTCGAGTGTTGGTCCTTTCTTGGAAGTCAGATGTTCATCTGATCCTGAGGCCTTCGAGTTTCCCCATAGATATTTCACTTCGGCACACTCGCTACCATTGGCCACGAACACGAGCCGGGCACAGGTCGGCGTATCTGTAAGTGTCTACACCGTCTACACTTCTTCTTAACAGTGTCCTTCATATTCTTGCCGCAGCCATTCCATTTGCCTTCGGCTTCGCATCTTCGCGCGGTCTCTTTTTTGCTTTCCCTTCGCCTTTATTCTAGAGTTGAAGATGCCAGGCGCACCTCCTCGGTCACTGGGAACAGAAAAAAAAGATCTTCATGGACATGGGGAAAAGCAAGCGGATGTCATCAGATCGCCCCTTAGCTGCACCGGGCCACAGAAAGTCATCGAGAAAAGAACACTTCGGCTTGCCTTAGGGTTTAGGGTTTAGGGTTTAGGGTACAGGGCCAGTTGTTGACACCCACTCGACTGGAGACATGTCGAGCTGCCGTACCTAATGCGTCACGGAAGTGCTGTGCGAAGCAGCGACGCAGGGAACGAATTGGAGTGAGTCTCTGCGCAAGGTCTCAATTGCTACGGGTTCCTCCCGAGCAGAAGCCTCTATGGGTGCCAAACATGCACCACATAGTATATGCAACAGGACTTAGTATTCTTACCACCTGCACTCCTTCTTGCCCAATCGAGCTACCTTGCGCCTGTCGCAGACCTCAGGAGCCTGAGTAAGTGCAACGATGCTACAGCTCACTCGCTCTCCTGAGGATCTCCTTCTCTGTTTAACCCTGCACGTCAAAGAACATCGGCCAAAGCCGTGCACGGACATCGTACGGGCTTGAAAAGCATTCAAACACAACCGGCGCCGCACCTAAAAAAGAGTGATCCATGGTTCTGTGTGGCTTACACTTGTTTTGGGGCACTGCGACATGCCGCCAGGGCTAGACTCGCTCGGACCAAATCTCCTCTGAGATGGCTTGAGATGCCTGGCTCAGCGCGTGCAGCGTTGCTTCGGTTCGTTCCATCATGGCCCGGAGGGACTCAATCTCCTGCACGAAGCTTTCCGGGTCCTGTTCCACATCCTCCAGGAAATCTTCAAGGGCCTGCAGATGTTCCACGGACCTTTCCGACAGACCACGCCCGCTGGAAGGTGCCACCGACCGCGTTGCGGGAGCATTCTGGAGACAGAGAGATTCTGATGACTGCAGGGTCGTAAGCGTGCCAGAGCTCTTTAGCCTTGAGAGGCTTCGGCTCATGGCGTGCGAGATCCAGGCTGTCGCATGGTCCATTCCCGCCGAAGGGCTACCCGTGCTGTCACTTCCCTCACTTCCCCAGTCTTTGAGCCGGCTTCCACAACAGAGGGCAAGGTAATAAAGAGGAGCTTTGCTCCACACGGATCCATTTCGAAGCTCGAAGCGCGCTTATAAATAGCTGAGGTTCGGAGCTCTTTTTCTCGAGGAGACCGGCCACCAGAGGTGCGGCAGAAAACGCTGCTTGGCAGGGTTCCTGCCCCGTGGGAAAATGGCGCAGTCACTGTGCAGCTGCTTTTGCCATGACCTAAAACGGCCGACGGAAAGAGGCAGGACGATGACTAGGGAGCAGAATGTCCCTGAAGCTCCACCTCCCTCGCAGCTGCTGGCCTCGTTCCTCGTTAGCAGGACAATATGGAAAAGAACTCTGCTGCAAAAGGTCTGGAGAGATGAGTGGCAGGACGCTGACAACGACCACGACAACCTCTTATCACCAGGAGCGGCAGTGACAGGGGCGACTATAGGACGAAAAACATGATTGCTGGTGACAGTGCCAACTGTGGCGGTGATGCTTGGTCGTGAAAGGTGGTAGTGAAAGGTGGTAGTGAAAGGAGGTGGCTTTCCTTCTGGGTGGCGGTGCTGACAATCAGCACAATCATCATCGCCACCATTACCATCACCATCGACATGACTCTCGCTATCACCCAGGCGTCGTGGTCATTGGTTTGCAGCTGTTCTGCTTGCCTTCTTGTCATCATGATCATCCCCATCATAGTCAATGTGATGGTCATCACCGTCATCATTGCTTATCTCATCGTCGCCGTCCGTCGTCACTGTCATCCTCGTTGTCATCGTCCTTGTCATCGTCATTGTCATCGTCATCACCATCATCACCATCATGAGCAGGAGCAGGAGCAGCAGCAGCAGCAGCAGCAGAAGCAGCAGCAGGAGCAGCCACCACCACCGCCGCTGCCGTCGCCACCCTCACCACCACCACCACGGCCACCACGACCACGTCATCAATCATCATGTGTCATCAACAGCTAAGGAGCTCTATCGCTCCTGGTCGTTAACCAAGCATCATCTTGCACCCATCGCCCTCACTCCACCTCCCCAACAATCACGACAGCCAGCACCAGCAAGACCAGCATGACCGTATGTGCTTCACATGAAAAATCTCCGCACTACGATGTGGAAGGAGGCATCTGCTCTCCCAAGCTTCGACAAGGCACGAAATCTCAAGCGCCGAAACTTCAGCAGAGCTGCCGAGGCTTCCAAGAGGCCACCAACTTCTCACGGGCGCTCGGCCCTCGAACTCGCTGAACTCACCGGCGTCATGCAAAGGAGTGCCGGCCTCTGGGCTCAACAAAACCGGAAAACTCCGAGTTGAGACTGTAGCATATTAGAATTATACCATACTACATTCTATGATACTACATGGTACTATATTGCATTATATTATACTGTAGGTGGCTTGAAGGAATCAGGATTGCAGCATGTGGTCGGTAGCAGACTGCACTGGCCTCGCCGGCCGCGGCTGGAGGGCGTCCACGAAGATTTCGCGCTGCCAACAGGAAGGGAAACGGAAGGAGAAGAAGCGGCAGCCACTTGCCCAAAGCCCAGGGATCCCACGGTGCTGCGTGGCCTCCTTTGGATGCCATCACATGTGCGTCCCTGTCCCCTTTCGCAGGCACTGACTGCGCCAACTGCATGGAATCTGCATTCCTCCCTCCTTTCGTGTCACAGTTATGGCCTACAAACAACACGGCCTGTGCACAGCCTGCAACCCATGCACGCTTCCCAACCCTCGAAGCCTCTTAACACTGCCGGGTCACTTGTACAAGTCTCCGGGCAGCGGCGGAAGAGGAAGAACGGATCGTCAGCAAAAGCTCGATGGCACCCTTCATCACAGCTGGGCGACGACAGGATCTGATCGGCCGCACAGTCCGGAACATGGTAGAGCTTCACCCACTTCGGACAGTCCCAGCTGGCCACCTGAGGGCAGAAACATGGAAGCCTCAAAAGCTAAAAAGCTTCGTGTGTCTGTATTTATGTATACATGGATACCAACAGAATATACAGAATAGAGTTGAGAAGGCTTGTTGGTACATGAATAGATCGGTAGGTTGATAGATAGACAGGCAGACAGACAGACAGGCAGATAGACAGGAATCAACCACACCCAAAATCTGTTGACACGCAGAAGCCTCTGGCCCCACGGCGTGCTCGAACTGCTTCAAGGGCTGGGGAAGGTCCGTTCCGTTATTTTGGCAGGTCGCTGGGCATCGCCGTTGCATGAAGGACCTGTCGCCTGAGGCTTGGAAGGAAGAGGAGGCTTCCAAATCTAAGCACACAGCAGCCCGGCTGCGCCCATCTGTTCATTATAGGGGTTTGTGAAAGGGTCTGAAACAAATCTAGAGCTGCGCACCTCGAAATGCGCTTCGACACCCCTCGTCGCAGTTCTTTGCCTGCCAGGGTCGAAGTCACTCCCTTCCCTGATTCTCTCATCCTGGTTTGAGGTGTCGGGCTATTGGCACAGCTGTCGACTTTCAGGGTGCAAGGATATTATAATACAATTATACTATACTACATTGTATGATACTATACGGTATTATACTATACTTTATTATACTATACAATACTATACTATATTCTACTATTCTATACTATGATTTGCAAAAGGCTACAAGTGGAAAGCTGGGGACAAGGAGGCGAAACTCTTCGAGCCTCAAAGCGCAAGTTACTGAACTTGAACTCAGAAGCCCTGGGCTACAAGACTGGCCTAAACCCTAAACGCGCCCCAAACCCTAAGCCCCAAACCCTAAACGCCCTAAACCCTAGGCCCTAGACCCAAAGCCCTAAACCCTAAATGCCTAAACCCCAAAGAACCCAGCAGACTTCTCGGACTTGGCCTTCATCACGGCATCCCCCGCACAGCCCGCGTCGAGCACATCATCGTAGAGGTTCGTCCACTGCTGGCAGCTCCAGGAAGCGACCTACGTGGGTTTAGGGTTTTACGGGTTTTAAGGTTTAGGGTTTAGGGTTTTTAGTGTTTTACGGGCTTTAAGGGTTTAGGGTTTTAAGGGTTTTAGGGTTTAGGGCCTAAGTGGAGGATGCGAATGAGTGCGATCATCTCTCTTTTTCCAGCTCTGAGAGCAAGAGGACGCTTTACTCTTACAGCCCCTCAAAAGGGCCGTTCATCAGGGCTGCACATGACTCGGCATTATGGACCAAAGAGTATGCAAGCTTCGGAAATGAAGTTCGTGTTCTGCGCTTTTGTCAACGTCGGATACGGGATCAAGCGATGCTGAGTCGACAATGCGTGCTCATTCCTTAGGCCTTGGGCCTAAGGCATTGGACATATCGGGTGACTCGAGGAAGCCCGAAATTCCGAAAGATGAGGTGGCAGACGGGATACCAGCTGCCTTCCTGGGTTCCGAGTTGAGTTGGTGCTGGTGGCACTGCACGTTACTGCTATTGCGGCCATGTTGTGCTCACAGGTCTGCCTGCATATCATGTTCACTTCTTGTCGGGGAGTTGGAAAGTAGCTTGTAGGGGTGGGGGTTTCTGTTAGTCTTCCTAGTCTTCCTCTTCTTCCTCATGTTGATGAGATGATGTTGTTGATGCCTGTTGTCGTTGTCGCTGTGGCTGTGGAGGCGGTTGTGGTTGCGGTTGTGGTTGTGGTTGCGGTTGTGGTTGTGGCGGTAGTGGTGGATGTAGTGGTTGCTGTTGTTGCCGCTGTTGTTGCCGTTTTTGCCGTCGTTGTTGCTGCTGCTGCTGTTGTTGCTGCTCTTGCTCTTGTTATAGCTCTTGTTATTGTTATTGTTGTTCTTGCTTTTCTTGTTGTTGTTGATGATGTTGTTGTTGTTGCTGTTGTTATTGTTCTGGTTCTTCTTGTTGTTGTTGTTGTTGATGTTGTTGTCGTTGTTCTTCTTCTTCCTCTTGTTCTTGTTGTTGTTCTTGTTGTTGTTGTTGTTGCTGTTGTTATTGTTCTGGTTCTTATTATTGTTGTTGTTGTTTTTGCTTTTGTTGCTGTTGCTGTTG